AAAGTTATAGCAGCGGGGTTGTCTATGTGCGGGACGGGGGGGGGGGGGGGATCTAAAAATTCGGGAATCATAGGCCGTTTTATATATAATCATCTCATAATGATGTACTTTTGAAATAGTAAAATGAATTATATTTTATAGACCACATGAAAGTTGTTACTCTTTAAACTCAGATTAAATATCGTAATGTATATTCCTGGTATGCATATACTCTATACTAAATATCACAGAATTATGATTAGTCTGCGCATGCGCGTTATCAAATGAGCCATTGTGTCCCGCTATTTTTAATCAAATATTGGGTTTAACGTCCTACTGTTCTGCTCCGACTGGGCTATTGGAGACTGGCATGTGCCATGTTGGACATTTTGTCCGGACATCGACACTACGACCAAATCGTATATGGAATTCCAACTGCTAAGGGTATTTTAAGACAAATGCATCAATTCAGAGATATCTACTCCATACGTCGGGAATAAGTCTCTGGTCTGGTAGCCGTCCATTAAAACACGCTCACGTATCAATCGAGGGGTTGCTATACCGGAAGTCAATCGAGGGGTACTACTGCTTGCTATACCGGAAGTCAATAAATAATCAACAAACCACAGCACTACAACCGGTTTATTCTTTCTTACTCTGACTGGCTACCCAAATACTCACACCTCGCAACATGTCGCCCTTAAAATACTCACACCTCGCAACATGTCGCCCTTAAAATAATATAATCATTATTATGCAGATTGTTATTTTGTCAAGTGTTTTAGATTACACCAACCTGTATCAACATTTATTGAACGTTTTATGGGTAATCTCTTCATGATGAGATTTAGGGCAAATTATAGGTATATAATATAGTAATACGAAATATGTATATCAGAGCTTACAAACTAATTTCGCTCCATCAGGTTGATATTTCCCTAGCGGGTCAATTCATTACATTTAAACTGATATGAATAGACGCCACCAAACCATAGGCGTACGGGCCAGGGGGCAGGGGAGGGAGGGGGCAGCTGCCCCGATAACTTTCGGGCAATCTGATTTTTCGGGCAGACGGGTAAAGTGAAAGAAAATTTTATTTCATCTAGTTTCCAAAATTTTTGGGGGGTGGGGGGTCTACAAAGTAAGCTTCACTCCTCCGCTCTCGCAGAAGACCGACGGCGCCGTCTGTAACCCGAAATTTTCGAGTCTGTACGCCTCTGCACCAAACCAACATACCTTCCTAATTTTGTTGGAATCAATTAAGAGGCGATCGATGGTAAATGTCAAAAATGTAAAAAGTTCGTTATTACTATTAGAAAATATAGCTGCCATTTATAAATGAATTATTATGGTATAATGATGTAACCTATTTTAATGAAATGGAGTTTCACGACCAATTGTTCTGATCCGATTGAGCTATTGAAGACGGAACGAAACAGATATTGCATTATATAATTGAACTGCCATTTTAAAACATCCCAACGGTTCGTATTAATGTAGACTATTAAAATTTAATGACATCATGTTAATACGACACCAAAACCAAATATTAATCGATTTAACTGGTATATAATGGATATTACAACCAACGTTTGATACTCACAGTACAAAATGTCGAGTATTAGACATCGTCTGTCAACTATATGGGGAGAGTTTCTGAATGAAACCACGCTACATGGCTGTAAGAATACATTTAGTAAGCAGTACGGGCCTGTGAAAAGAACACTGTGGTTTTTATGTGTTAGTATAATGGTTGGAACCCTGATGTACACGACTTGTACTTTCTTTATGAAATATCTGGAATTTAATTTTGTGACCAGGACAAGTGTGACGTATCATCATGAATTGGAATTCCCGGCTATCACTCTCTGTAGCTTAAATCCGTTTGACAAAAATAAATTTAAAAAATCCAACATCTATAACACTAATAAAGCGGATCCTAGGGTGGCGGACTATGTTGAACATATAAGACGTGGACGTAGAGTGATAAATGAATCTTATTCCAAATGGATAGATCTGAGACCGGACGAAACAGAATTAAACAAGTTGGGATTTGATATCAATGATATGATACTGAATTCATTAATAAAGCCTGGAAAATCGTACAATGTGAAATCCGAATTCTCAGTAACCTACCCGTTACCTTTACAAAAATGTTTCACTTTTAACGGGAGATATTGGAATAAGACATATGACCACAAACCGCTTAAGTTCAAAGCAGACACGTATTTGTATTTAAAACTGGACACTCACACAGACAGGTATGCTTTTAATACTTGGACAATTGGCGTTCAACTTATCCTGCATCATCCTGATGATCCATTCCATAATCGTTCCCTATCATTCGTGCTTTCGCCAGGATATTTGCACAGGATTCAAATCTCTGAAAAGAGATATAAATATCTTACTAGTCCTTACAATTCTTACCAGAATCAGGAATGTGTACAAGTGGAGAAATCAAATCAAGGGTCCGGTGAATATCGTCCTCCGTACTCCTATGGTGATTGTATTATTAAATGTCTGACTAATCGAACTCAATCGCTGTGTGGATGTATCATAGAATCACTTCTTCATGACAGCTCGAGTGTATTTTGTACTGTTGCTGAAAGACATTCTTGTGCACTGCGATTATCTAGGTCTCCCGAGTTTTGTGATTGCAAAAGACCGTGTTTTGAAACCAAGTATGATTATGAACTTTCTTCCTATACGTTGACACCTGACCGATGGAGTCCCAGCACATTGTTTTCAACGATTGAATTTAAAGACATGACAATCACTTCGGTCGAACATGAACCGGAGTTGGACATTGGGGATATTATCAGCCATCTTGGAGGTTACATGGGCTTCTGTCTTGGAGCTAGTGTATTAACATTTATAGAGATGGTTGAGGTTGTATTGAAGAGCTTAAAGGCGATCAGGCTGCACCGACAGAGTACAGTGAACAGTCCACAAATATCACCACCAAATCCCGGTGAAAACCATGAAATAGATAGTAACTGACAATAATGTTACCAGCCGTTTAAATCTAATGTTGTAACGTCGAGAATTTCTGTACCATTATTCTAACAAACTAAAATAACCTTTGTATATGACTTTCTAGTTAAAGATACATTATGGGAGATTAGATAAAGAGCTGGCAGTTCTCACTAGAATAGTTAAAAAATAGATACGGTAAAGGCAATTTGCTGAAAATTTCAGTCAAAGTGATCAAATGTGAACCGAGAATTAAGCGATTGAAATTTCGACCTAGCCTCGATCATCATTACTAAAGCCTGTACGATAAAAAACATAGTTTCGATTATCCATTTCGTGATTATATTATGAATGGAAGTCGAGCTATCAAGTGGGATCATAATCCAGTAAATATCGTAGGCTAGCGATTCCATCGAGAGTTGATTGTGAACTGGAATTGGCAGATTTAGCTCTTGCATTATGTATGTTTAATTCAATAATTGTTATATGTAGTGCGATGATATTAAATACTTAAAGTAGCTAAGTTTCTACCTCAATATTATCCAAAGTCTTACACGTTGAAAATACGAATTATTTGTCAATTTAAATCAACATTGATGTTGTGATCTTACCGGGAAAAGATGGCCTTCTGATATCCAATATTTAAGACAAAATAAAAATTTTACCATTGGTACACGAATGCGTTTTAGCGTCATTTGCAACAAGTGACCAGAAAGAACGAGGCTAGACATATTCAACTGGGGGGGGGGGGGGCTGCTCAATAGACTGGAATAACCAGACGTTAGAAATTGCTGTAGGGTTGAGACACGTGCCGTATTTCGCTGAACATAAGTGATTTAAAATTAAGGGTCAAAACGGAAACAATTGAATGTAAATCAGTTTATATACAATTAGATTACATTATTATATGCCTTTCGACCCATTTGGGTCAATTTCTAGGTCCCAAATATTAGTGATTTAGCTCCTTTAACAACCCGCGTTATATAAACTAAATAGGTCTAAAGCTGTTCTCAGTATATAATATTTTAAAAAACCACACAATTTTTAACGATTCATAAAAACTAATAAATTTATCACATTCCACCGAGTACTTTCGACTGTTGCGGTTTCTTCAGGGCGAATGACAATGGAAGTGACAATACGCCGTCATAGCGACGGCAACAGTTACAAGGGTAACTATTTTTTAGCATTTTAAGTTAAATAATGTCTAATTGATAATTTAGAAAACATTTCAGGCCTAAAGAAAGACCTGCAATAGGCAGATTTAGCTCTTGTATAATGCATTTTTAAGTAATTATCAGAAAATTGTTAGAATTTGTTTGGCTTTTAGTTCTGTCCCATGCTAACCTTTATTATATGAAACATTTAATATCATGGATTAAGCTGTTGAAAAATCATTGAAAAATATATATAATTTTTCATCTCGTGACCTTAAACGCTGTGTATCAATCTAAAGTCAATCGGGTATTAACTTTAGCCTCTAGAGCACCCACAAGATATTTAAAAGTGATCAAGGGCCATAACTCTGGTAGTATTTATCAGACTTCATTGAAAATCAATAAATGAATTGAAATGAAATGGGGTTTAACGTCCTACTGTTCTGCTCCTTACCTGGGCTAATGAAGACGGGCATACGCCATACAGTGTGCTATGAGGGAATTTTTGCCCGGGCAGCGGCGCTATAGCCTAATCTTATATCGAATTCCAACTGCCAAGGGATCTTTTACGTGCACGCCAATGTGTACACGGGACCTCGGTTTTTCGTCCCATCCGAAGGACTAGACAGCTGTTCTTGTCAGGCCCTCTATCCTGCATCACTGACAATGGGGGAACCACTCCGGAGAAAATCAATCAACTTCTTCCTTGTTATCTTATCAATTTCTACTTGTAACTAGCTTTATATACACGTTCTTTTATTTGTTACATGTATATTTGTTGTACTGTATTAATGTAATTTTTGTAATTGTATGCTGCTCCTCGTGGACGTTTTTATGCAATAAATTTACTTACTTACTTACTCTTTGTCTCATGACCTTAAACAATGTGTATAAAATTAAAGTCAATCGGATATTAATTTTAGTCTCTATAGCGTCCACAACAATTGTGGACGCCGGACGGACGGGGGCGAGGGCAATATACGACCACATGTGAATGTGTGCGTATAAAAACTAGATAATGTAAAGGGATTATGCTGAAAATTTCTGTCAAGTTGCTTCACTTTATTAAGCCCAGAAAATCCTATTTTAAAATCGCTATGGCCTCGATTGTCATTGTTATTTCGTTTCGTTTTTTTATACTTTCGATGGCCTCTACTACATGAAGATCTGACCAGTTGTAGTGGAAGGTCGCGTATTTGATTAACCAATCAGCTATGATGGTTCTAGTGGGTTACCCCAGTTTCGTGCACCTCACGCCAAAAACTCGCCGTAACAGATCGTTTCATTGGCTAATCCCTCACATCATCCAGAACGCGGGTTATACAATGACTCTTCCGATCTTAGTGTGGTGAAGACAAGTAAAACGAAATTTTGAACTATAAAAACGAAACGAAATAGAATCTGTTTTTAACCAGACTGGTCATCAATGAACTTTTATCAGCAGATCGGATTCAAATCCAATAAAATCAGACACAGAAGATGGCATCGAGAGTTTGGTTATGGTCTTTTCATGTAACTAATTAATAGTTTATATAACATTTAAGGCCTAAAGGCCTGCAATAAGCAGGTTATCTTTTGCATAATGCTGAAACCCTCGTGGATTGTGTTGGAGTCTCTTTTGTTTTCGTCCCAATTATACTATCTGTGATACGGTTTCAAAGATATACCATGTACACGTCGTCACGTTCCACGCCAATCTTACAGTGAAGCCAGACGTTAAACTATAGGCTACTACCCCACTCCATTTCGCACGCCAATCTAAAAATATCTGATGCCCGTTAAAACTTAATTCCAGATACATTCAATAAATCAACGTACTGGGTCTGTAGGCCCTATATCGTGTCATGTCCAGGTTTGTTTTGTGTAATAGTTTGTGTGTGGTCCGGTCCACCTGGCTGTACTAACTATTATTGTGGCGCTTTTTATAGCATCCCACCTCTGCCACCAAATGTGGCGCGCTTTTTACTTCTTCTGTCTTTGGCCAAGAAATGGTGTAGCGGTTTGGTAGTGTGGGGAATCTGTCGCAATGGTTGCTCAGGACCCACACCCGGTAATTTCTCTGCCACCAGTGATCTATTGACCGATCACAAGCCGTTTAAAGTAGAGCCTCTTCAGAGGAGAGGGCGGACTACCTAAAAAGTAGTTGTGCTATGTTCGTCTCTCTCTCTCTCTCTCTCTCTCTCTCTTCGAACAAACGGAACAAAACTGTATACAACTATAAAGTTTTATTATGTATTATAACATATATACAGGCAGGGGCGTACATAACGATTTTGTTTTTTTTTTGGGGGGGGTAGCCAAAATGCGACCGACTGATGCACATACCCCCAGTACGAGTGACGCAGTCAGGAGCCGCGCACCACAGGTGCGAGTTTTCTAGGGGCCATGTGCAGTAGCGGATATAGAAGCTGGGAATAGGGGGTGGGGTGGGGTGGTTCCAAATCTAGGGCGCCATCCACAATCCCACCCCACAATGAATGTCAACAAAATACTGGCTATAACATTAAGCGTCCCAGTAGAACATAGACAGTATTGTATAATTATATAGTTGTTCGCCGATCGTTGTCTCGCCGGAAAGCAGTTTTATTTAAGTTGATATAAAGTTTATGTCATATGATGAGTGTACCTATAACACTGAGCAACCTGAGAAAATTTTGAAAAATTGAGTCAGTATCCTAGCATTTCAGGTCATTGCTGGGAGAAAGTCTTGTGGACGAGAGGACCAGAAATGTGAGCCAATGGGACAGAATCTGGAGATCTGCGCCTGTCAATTCCGCCTGTTTTGCAAGAGTTGACATAACATTTGTATAGTCTGGCGCCCCACGACCCACACACCAGTATAACTGGGCAGTTCACATGATAGTGCTGATACAGTATAAGAAAACAGAGGAATAGAAGAATGATGTTATAACGGAATCGAGCGCCGTAGGCCCGAAAAAATTTCAGATATGTAACCCAGTGATTACGTTTCTAGTGTAAGGAAAGATTTGTAATATAAGAATCTTCAATGAAAAAAAATGGAATTAAACAGTTAGAAGGTTTAATGGATCCTTGTGATTTAAAGCGTCGACACATGGATCCAAAATTTTCACAGTCTACAACAGAATACAATAATAATAAATAATAATAATAATAGCTTTATTTCCAATCAAGGGTCCACAGGGGACATGGTACAGAGCAAACAAAGAGAGAAAACCCAAATGACAGTCAAGTAAGAAAATATAATAGTATACATAGCTCCCAACAGGGGAGATACACATATAAGTACCTTATGCACTAAGGCTTCATGCCGAAAAAAAAAACGGCTCATGAGAACATTATTATTAATCATGAAAGGGAGATAAATCCACTTAACTCTTAATGGTCTCAGACTAGCAATTATTTGCCCATTGACTTCAATGTTAAATGACTGTAACATCACAGGCTGTAGCTTTTTTCTCAACATTCCGTTGGTTCCAATCTTTATAGGCACAATGGGGACAACATTTGGCAATCTCCTCATCATAATTTTGTAGAGGGTTGACCATTTAGATTTTTTGTACACGGATTTGAAGTTGAGTGGGGTGAAAATCTCACTTCCGACACAATGATTGCTCTGCAGAAAGACACTTTACACCCTCTATCCCTCCGCTGTAATATCATCAGTATTACCCAAAATTGCTATGAAATTGCAAATTTGATCCCTTTTCTCCAATTCTAGACCAAAAAGTCAACCCAAAAATGCAGGAAGAGGGGAGAAAAAAATTAAGGGAAAAATTGTCTATTTATAACTCGCACTACATTCATGAAATAAGGGGAAATAATTACTAGTCTTACTCCTAATGGCCACAGATCACTAATTAATTTCCCATTGACTTTAATGTTAATTCTCGTCTCTTAGACCGGCTCTAACTTTTTCCCAAATTTTCGTTGGGTAGAACGCTTTCTGCCACAGATGGAGCAACATGTGGCAAACTCTTGCCCAAAAGCATGTATGAGGTTCACCATGAAAAACTTGAGATACACAAGTTGGAAGTAGAGATAAGTAAACATGCAATTTCCGGCCCTACATTTCAACGTAACCAACCTCACAACTCTTGTATCCTTCCGCCTCAAAATCATGAATATTCACCAAAACCTGGCAGAAAATGTATTTTCAAACCCTTTTTTTCGATTCTACACCAAAAAGTCAACAAAAATTGCCATGCAAAAGGGGGAAAAGGGAAAGGGAGAGAGAGAATAAAAATAACTTTGGCCCTTGTTTCGGCGTAGAAATATTTGGTGAGCTGAGTCCTAATGTTACAGATCAATATTAAGCATTACAGAACAGCTGTATTCATCCGCAAAAAAATAGTACCTAAAATTCATGTACATTATATAGGTTTAAACGTCAAATGAGGTCAAATGAATAGAGACGTCTTTAATATATACTAAATATTCGTATCATCCCAAATCGACAATAAAACAGTGAGAAAAGGGAAAATCTAAGTAATGACAATCTAATTAACATAAAATTTACGACATAATGGATTCTTCAATGTTTTGATGGTGATCATGAAGAAAATAGGCCTACATCTGTTCTCAGGAATCCGAAAGATTTTCAAAAAAAAGATCAGTAGAATTATAGTTTGTTATTCCACAAAGTCGAAAGGTATGTTAGATTTTTCATTCAGTCAAGTTAGAGCGAGTTTATTGCCGTACTTTGAGCTCCAAACCCGATAGAAATGAAGGCGGAAGTGGCCATAATAGTTTTAGAGATCACTACGTGATGGCGCTCCTGCGTCGCGACAAACGGGGCCGATTTGTCGAGCTTTTAATTTTTCGGGACAGGGCCTGAAAATTTAAGTCAATGTCATGGCAAATGGAACCAAATTCTCGCTAACGAGAGGATAAGAAATGAGACAGAATCTT